CTAACACAGGTGGTGTACCACTGTACCCTCGTATGCACTAGACTGGTCAAAACAATAATTAATTTTTCGTACAAAGTTAAACTACACACATAAATATCATTTTTCCCACTTCATACGTTATTAAAAATATATATTAAATAAATAATGATTTTCAGACACATTTGTTTATTGAAAAACAAAACTTTATTTTTTGTTTGTCTTTGACCTCAGCAGTAGTCGTAGGAGCCCCCTTAAAACGCCCATGCACAGGCACCCAAAAAATTCATATGAGCCTGTAACGTTCGTATTTTTTTAAAACGAAATTAGCAAGTCGTTAAAATTTTTCTCGAGCAGATCCAATAGGGTCGAAAAGAATTTAGCTTCTTTTGGCTCGTCTTTTGGACACAGACAGTACGAAAAAAACATTTTAATAATTGAAAAACTTTTTTAAGTGTTTGTGTATTCATGCCCTTGAAATATGCTAGTTTTTTTATAATGACTCCCATATGGATATGAGAATTGCATTAAAAATCAACAAAAGATTATCCCCTCGAATGAAATCCGCGTTCACGATGGGTACCACATAGTTCATGACATTGTGATCAAAATGAGCCCCGTCTCAAGGATATTCTTAAAACAGAATTTTATTAAAACGCGGGGAACAAAGTTACGATATTTTTTTGGATCCACTTACATGTCTATGCACGCAACTCGTACGAAAATTGCTTTGTCTGTACTTGTTACTTAAGTAATTATTGATATTTGGTACTATAGTTTCAATTTCTAATGCAAATTATTCAATACGTTTTTTAATTATTGGAATTCCAGGGAGGAGCATTGGTCAACAAGCCTGACAAGTTTGGTTACACACCGCTTCATATTGCAGCCCTGAATGAAATAAAAAAATAAAACAGCAAAAAATCGCTATTTTCCAATATTTAATATTTAATTTTATATATCCAAGATGTATCCTTCAAAGCTTAAACTATAGGTTTTTGTGTCCTTTATCTGTGATTTTTTTTAAATATGTTCTCTCTCGTCACCGCTCTCTGCTTCTGCTGTCCCCTCACCACATCGCCCTTCCCCGCCATTCGCTCGTTGAGCTGCCACGGATGCAAAATTAACGATAATTACGATAATTACGACAAAACGATATTTTAGATGCTTTGTTAAGGACTTTATTAAATGATTTTGCAAACGATTTAGCAATAAGTTTGTAGATTAAGTCTTCCATAACACATACATGCCCGTATATTCATCGTACGGCCGGTTTTCGTCGGTTGGCAAGCATTTTTCCGAAGCACCTGTTTGTATACTTTATCGATTTTCTCAAAAAGTTTTCATAACTTGTCTATTTAAAAAAAAAAAACCACAGGTAAAGGACACAAAAACCAACAATTTAAGTTTTGGAGGATACATCGAGGATGTATAGAAGCCGAGTAATTAATTACTGAAATTGGCGATTTTGCACTGTTTTTAATTTTTACGTAAAAAGTTGTTCGATTTTGATTATTAAAAACTCATTTTTTTAGTCTTTTTTAAGCTCTACATGTCAATGTTTTTTTTGTTTTTGGTTTATACATTTTTTTAAGCCCTTTTAGTGCAAAAAAGTGGTTTTTGGCACCTTCCCGATCGAATTTCAACAGGTTCCTACATACCGATTTTTTTAAAGTTATTTTTCCTGAAATCCCATTATTTTTTTCCTATTTGTCACGGTGAGAAACATCTCCGGAACGAGATTTTAAAAAATCACTGATTTTTCGCTCCGGGCCCTGTACTACAGTTCATATAATAAGCGTTCCTGTGCATGGACGTCTTAAAGTACCTGTACATGGAAGACTTGCAGTCTGGAGAATGCCAGCCAAAGCTTTGGCAGGTGATTCAATTCAAATTGATAAAGATCAAAATTTATTTATTTTTTGCTTTCAGTGCAATAAATACTTTATTTGCAATGACACTACACTCTGAAGTCGTATTTGGATACCAGAAACTAATTTCGGTAAAAAGTTATGAAAATTTTATTATTAAATGAAAATATCCTTTTCTATCATACAGTCTCAAAGTGATAATGAGATTATTGCTAACTCCTTGTGTTAGTTTTTTATAAATCAGCAAAGAAAATTTCGACTGTCAAAAGTGTCCAACTACTGGGTACTTTACCTTAAAGCTAGCAATTCTTTTTCTTATGTGGATATACTCATATACATGCTTTCACGCACACCTCATCCCTTCTTTCTAAATTTATTTAAAATTTAAGTTGTGAGTCTATTTGAAAATTCGATAGGTTTTTCTAAAAGTAATCTTTTGTACCCAAAAAGTTGGGAGATGCCTACAAATCATATAAATGCCATTTAACATGATTGTTTCATAAGGTTACATGTTAAGTATAGACTTTTTTAAACATATATAAAAAAATGGTACAGTCAAACGAGCTGCAACTTTTAATGGTATTTTTATGCTGTTTTAATATACCTTTATCATATGAATCATATCTTTCAAAAAAAAATCTATGCGTGATAAACATCCTTAAGAGACATTCACTGGCATACAATACTACCATATTAAAGAAAACTATACTACAGGGTGGTTTTTCTTAATTTTCTATATACAATTATATTTTGGGTATTAAATATAGACGAGAAATAAGTGTGGGATCGTACATGATAAATGTGAGCGTGACGTTACAGACGTAATCAGCGTAGGCTGTAGAATGTTGTTCTAAAATCACCGGAAGATTCAATGACAGTGCCCAGTCTTGGACTGGCCAGCCTATATATTATTTTTATTGTATTGTGCCGTAATATATTGTTTATGATCGTTAACTCATTAAATATTAATTAAAATCACACCCAATCAACGTAGGTATACTTATTCCCACGATAATTGCACCACCTTACAATTGCATGTTACAGGGATGTTTAAAATACACTTTTAATTAACCTATCTTTTACACACGCCGTCAAATTAGTTAATTAATCTTGATAAAGAATAAATTCATTACATTTGGGAGCCCTGATTGAGTTTTGAGTCTGTCAAAAAGCCTTCTCTCGCTGCTTCCGAACTCACCAACAGATGGCACAACCGATAGGTTGACGATCCCAATAGGTGTTGTCCCAATATACACACAATATATGACGACAATACCGACGTAGTTTTTTGAAACATTTACGCAAGTTCACTTTTACAGAATATCTTCTACTTTTTGACAAAATAACTTTGAAAAGGAATCGCTTTGAATCCTTGTGATGTAGATGATATGTGAGATCAAAATACCATGTATAAAAATTTTTATAATTTTTTTTTTTTTTTAAATCCTTTTGAGTCAGTTAAGGCAGAATCACACATATGTGAATAAACCCACGAAAAATATCTCAAATTCTTATCCCGTTAAAAAGTAGTGTATTATTCACCAGGGGAAGAAAAATAAAGAATATTTGAAATCACATGCAATTAATACGTATGCAATCTGAGGGATTTTTTATGTCTTCCTGTGGATTGTATAAAATTTTTCACCAATCTTGTGCAAGGAGATGGAATTTTCGTTCCACGAAAAAAGGGACGTTACTTCCGTTTTCCGGCACAGTGTGGTATAAAAAATTTTTTTACCATACTGCGCTGGAAGAAGGTGAACTTAGACTATTTTTTACAATATTGATGCAAAAACTATATACTCATAAATGACATATGTGTCATTATACGAAAAATGGTTTATTTTATACCCCAGTCGATTACAACGTCGTGTAAGGAGATATCGATCTGACAACTTTTTCAAATAATCAAGGGATGTTTACAGGTGGAAGTACAGCATAATTCAGAGCCTTAAAAAGTATTAATATAGTTTAAGATGTAAAAAAGGCAGTTCTACAGGCTTGCTAATTGATAAATTCGATCTTCCTAAAATAAAAACTAAGAGCGTGTAAGCGCTACAGAATGTAATGTATTTTTTCGAAGCGTTCAGTTTATCGACTCGGAAGGTGGTGGGTTAAGATAACGCTATTTTTTATACGATATAAGTGCAGTGGCGAAGTTTAAGTTTTACTTGGTGCGCCACAATAAGGTTTTTTGACGATTACATAATAGCCCGTAAAGCTCCTTTTTTCTTGAGAGCTCGTAACGTTATCTTGTAGCGCTTTGTATCTTCTTTTAATGTTGAATTATCGACTCAGATAGGGACTTGTACAAATGTTAAAAACATGTACGTGGTATAAATGCGTAAATAAGGTCTAATTTTCATGGAAATTGCCTTTATCTCAGTAGTACAGGGCCCAGGTTTTTTTTTTTTTTTTAATCTCGTTCCAGAGAGGTTACTCATCGTAATAAATAGAAAAAAATAGTAGGATTTCGGAAAAATAATNATAATGATTTTCAGACACATTTGTTTATTGAAAAACAAAACTTTATTTTTTGTTTGTCTTTGACCTCAGCAGTAGTCGTAGGAGCCCCCTTAAAACGCCCATGCACAGGCACCCAAAAAATTCATATGAGCCTGTAACGTTCGTATTTTTTTAAAACGAAATTAGCAAGTCGTTAAAATTTTTCTCGAGCAGATCCAATAGGGTCGAAAAGAATTTAGCTTCTTTTGGCTCGTCTTTTGGACACAGACAGTACGAAAAAAACATTTTAATAATTGAAAAACTTTTTTAAGTGTTTGTGTATTCATGCCCTTGAAATATGCTAGTTTTTTTATAATGACTCCCATATGGATATGAGAATTGCATTAAAAATCAACAAAAGATTATCCCCTCGAATGAAATCCGCGTTCACGATGGGTACCACATAGTTCATGACATTGTGATCAAAATGAGCCCCGTCTCAAGGATATTCTTAAAACAGAATTTTATTAAAACGCGGGGAACAAAGTTACGATATTTTTTTGGATCCACTTACATGTCTATGCACGCAACTCGTACGAAAATTGCTTTGTCTGTACTTGTTACTTAAGTAATTATTGATATTTGGTACTATAGTTTCAATTTCTAATGCAAATTATTCAATACGTTTTTTAATTATTGGAATTCCAGGGAGGAGCATTGGTCAACAAGCCTGACAAGTTTGGTTACACACCGCTTCATATTGCAGCCCTGAATGAAAACTCATCGATAGTAACATATTTATTAGAGAAGGGTGCAGACGTGACAGCTCGTACAAAGGGAGACGTATCAGCACTCAGTTTCATCGTCCGTCGGACCCCGGATGTGCTCACGGACTTTGTCACTCGACTGGACCAGGCAGTAGCTCTACACGACCATGAGCTTGGAGACGTCGACTGCGAGCTTCAACTAGACTTCCGACCACTGGTGCCAGGGGTCCGGAGTGAAAGCGATCTAATGATATGCCTTGTGGAAGTTGGCCAGAGGCACATACTGAAGCATCCACTTTGCGAGAGTTTTCTCTACCTAAAGTGGCTGAAAATCCGCAAATTCTTGCTATTTAGCCTGATATTCCACTCGGTCTTCGTCACAATATTCACAAGCTATGTCGCGGTCACCTACCTATGGGAGATTGCCAGATTGAGTCGTATCCTTTTTTGGTTCGTTCTACTCTTTACATTGATGCTTGCCTCGAAGGAGCTCTTTCAGGTCGCCCACGGCGTATGTTTATACGCAAAGGGCTGGGAAAACGTGCTACAGTGGAGCGTTATTCTGTTGACGGCGACGGTATTGGCCGAGCCACCGGACGATTGGGAGCAACATGTCGTCGCTTTGAGTAGTCTTTTTGTCTGGCTGGAGCTAATGATGGTCGTTGGCAGATTTCCAATGTTCGGCCTCTACGTCCAGATGTTCACACAGGTGGCAATAAACTTCTTCAAGTTTCTCGGTGCCTACTTGTGCGTTATCGTCGGCTTTTCTTTGGCATTTAGCGTCTTACATAAGAACCGCGAATCCTTTTCAAATCCATTTGTAAGCTTTTTGAAAACCGTAGTAATGTTGTCAGGTGAGCTGGAGTTTGAGGACGTGTTCTATGATAATGATGCACCAATACTTTATCCAGGAACGGCACACTTGATGTGGCTTGTTTTCATTATTCTCATCACCGTCATTTTAGCTAATCTTATGATGGGTCTCGCGGTGTCGGACATACAGGAGCTTCGTCAAAGTGCGGGTCTCGACAGATTGGTCAGACGGGCCGAGTTAGTTACCCACTTGGAGAGCTTGCTGTTTTCTAAGTTGCTCGATTATGCGCCTAAAAGGGTTGTCCAAGCCTGCCGGAGCAGCGCCTTGTTGTTGCACCGGCCGCATCACTGCGCCTTCCATATTCGGCCCAATGATCCGAGAGAAAAGAGGTTACCTAGGGAGCTCGTTAAAGCGATTTATCGTCTAGTAATAGAGAGAAAGTCCAATAACAAACTTTCTGCTAACTCGTTGACACGCAATCTCAATAGCGACGAATTCAAATCACATCAAATGAGAAGATTTTATAGTAATTCCTCTTTTAACGGCAATAACGGACAAATAGGTGATCCGGAAACTGAGCTGAAGAAATTTGCTCTAACAATTGAGTCGAAATTGAATGAATTAGTGTTTCAGGTAAACAACCTTACAAAGAATAATAATGTTGTGAATGTGAAAAAGTAAAGTCATGATTGTTTGCAGCAATGGAGTTTTCTCGCAAAAATTATTTACTCAAAAAAAGGCTACTTAATAAAATTGTTTTGTTAAATGTACCGAGAAAAAAATACATAAATGTTGTACTTACCAAAAGTTGAGCTTTGAATTTTTCTCCACTTTTTAAATGAATAACTGATTCAGAACCAAAGGAAATTGGTAAAGCAACGTCTTCAATTATTGCATCATTGATAACTTTTACTGATTTTTTCTCTGCCAACTGAGTACTGACTGCATGCAAGAGTAAGTCATTTTCAACAATGTAAGCTAATTCATCGGTCAAATAATCTTCATTGAATGTAATCATAGCATCTGAGCAAGCATCCCACACCTACGAAAATGAATTATTACAGATATTGGTAATTTCAATTTTTTTGAATAACACAGCTTATGCATTTCATAGTCAAGTTAACTTTTTTTTTAATTTCATGAATAATAATTTGTACAAATAAGAGTTTATAACTTAAGCATGAATGATAGTAAAACATGAGGTAAATAAATTTTTCAAGTTCAAGTACTTACAGTAATTTAAAAAGTATTAAAAATAATGAGATTACCAAGACATTGAAACTTATGTTGAACAAAAACATTATAAGTGTTTTTCTATAAACATACCTGTAAATATTAGTTACTTCATTATTACCTGCATTTTTTTGACTGGAGTGAATCGTACTGCCTGTATGTGTCTCCATACACCAATACTGGATAGTAATATGCGGGTATGTTTATTTAATGCAACCACTCGGTTGGAATACTGCTCCTTAGGTACAAACGTTTGATGCTTTCCTCGTTCGAGTAAGAGTATCTTTTTATCTTGAAGCCGTTTATTGTTGGCTGCAGAAATATCACAAGAACACACAGAGTAATATGAAAATTGTAAAATATATAGTAAAGTAACTTCAGATTAAAAATTTATTTCTTTAATAAATATAGTAGTCATAACATAGACAACATGAAGTTTAGATAAAAATTTATTTAAGTTGGACAATTATCTGCCAGCCTTGCATGATTTGGTGCAACAATAATAACTCGAATGAACAAAGATCCTAACCTAGAGCACAGGCCAAAGTGGTGCCGACCATACCACCACCAGCTATTACAATGTCATACTCATCATCAACGATGCTATGGCAACTTCTGGTCATCTGACTGTACCCGATAAACGGCACATTTCCGTTGCTTTTTGAAATCAATGATAAAACACCGCGAAAAAGTGAGCGAGACCCGACGGGAGCAGTCATTTTTGACAGTTTAGATTTCAGACTGAGATCTGGCTGTCTGCTCTCTGCTTGCAATATTAAGCAGTTTTCACGAATCACGATAGTCCCTAGTCCGTTATTGCAACCAAGAGAGCTAGGGCTAGGGTACGTTTTTTTTTGTCGTCGGTCTCTCCAATTCCTCCAGAAAGTATTCCGGAAGTACAAGTCCCGCTAGATGGCGCTGTACTACTACCACAGTGTACTGTTTTCAAAATAAACAAAACATGTATTATATAAAAAATTACTGTTCTCGTCTACGGTGCTAAATATTTTGGACGATTGCAAACACAGAGCAAAGTATTTATGTAATCCCGTTTTAGAGTTTTTATAACGACCATATAGTAAAACATGATTAAAATTTAAAATTATGCTTCCTTCTTCAAAAGGCTTTACTCCGCCATTAGAATATTTCATTTACTTAAATATTTTTATTGTAGGACACGAAATTTTGATGAACATTACTGAAGAGGTGTGAGTAAAGGGGGTGCGCGAAATAATAAAACGAGTATTACAAGTTAGACAAAAAGTTTCTTTAATAAAACTGCTGACTGACGTAGAACACAACAGATACAATTTACAGACTTTACAGACTTACAACCAACTTATCAGACAAAGACAATAAAGCTAGAACCGACGAGAGGTGTAGAAGGCACGGTGGCTTACACTGTACTGACTACAGGGCCCGCAAGTATCACCTTGCCTGTGGCGCTGTCTTTCACACTATATATACTGCCTATTGAAAAGTCGTACATGCCAACACTTCCTCCCGACTTAAGATAGCTAAGTATATTAGACAAAAATTATAATTTAAAATAGATAAATAGATAAATAAATGTGTGTTCTTGACTCGGCTCCACGGCTCTGGGAATGCACCCAAGTAGTCCATGAGTCGGTCCATGGCTCCTTTATCGCCTATCTGAAACAGAGACAACTTATTAGTTACCAGTCAGAGTCGCAAAAGCTGTTCGCGATTCTGCTAGCAAATTTTTCATGGAGCTCGATCGGTAGAGGTTTTGTGAATATATCGGCCATCTGTTCTTTAGTGTTCAGCCATCTGACGTTTACTCTACCATAATTTACACATTCTTTAACATAATGCTCATGAATTTCTGTCATATGTCTTAATTTACCACTACCTATAATTTTAGCATTTTGCTCAGCCGCCTTATTGTCGCACCATAGATCTGCTGGACACAAAGTATTATTCAGTATGATTTTAATCGAATTATCAACTGCCATCAGTTCTCTACATGCTTCACTCAGTGACACATACTCTGCCTGACATGTTGACAAAGACACATACGTTTGTTTGTGAGTTCTCCATGCCACTGAGTCTCCAAAGATTTTAATTACGTAACCGCTTGTGGTTAGAGACCCTTTGCAATCGCCAAAACTGGCATCGGAGAATGCTTCCAGCCCTTGCTGCCTTCCACAATATCTTAGACCATAAGATTTGGTCCCTGCCAGATACCGAAATACTCTTTTAACCATATTCCAGTCTTCGTTAGTCGGACTTATTTGATGCCTGCTCAGCACATTCACTGCATAACTTATATCCGGACGTACAGTATTGGCAGCATATAATAAGCTCCCAACAGCCTCCCGGTAGGGAACACTTTCAGTCGATCTGGACTCATTCAAGTCAATCTGCCTTTCTGATTGCTCTCTTTGTTTTCTTTGTTGATTTAACACGTGACCTGTGACCATAGGAGTTTTCACTGGCTTAGAATCATCAAACCCAAACTTTTTAAGTATCTTATTTATGTAATTGGTCTGAGTTAAAGTTAGAACTTGGTTTTCTCTGTCTCTTCTGACTTCAATGCCTAAAAACGATTTAACTTCTCCTAGGTCAGTCATTTCAAACTCACTTTGCAGTCTTTCCTTCACAGACTTCAATTTGCCAGAATCATTACTTGCTATAAGCATGTCATCAACATAGAGAACCAATATCAGGATTTTATCTGCCTCATGCCAAGTAAATAGGCAAGGTTCCAAGATGTGAGATCTTAGACCTATTTTCGTTGCTGCCTCAGAGAATCTTTCATGCCATTTTTTCGGACTGACTTTAAGGCCGTAGAGGGCTCTCTGAAGCTTACATACCTTGCTTTGTTTTTCCAGATCGGAACAGACCAAACCTTCTGGTAACTCCATATATATCTCGTCGTCAAGGTTACCATTTAAAAATGCCGTTTTAACGTCAAGCTGACATGTATCTAAATTTAATTTATTGATTACAGCCAAAGCAGTCCTTATTAAAGTCAGTCTTGACACCGGGGCGTAAGTCTCTGTAAGATCATACTCATTTTTATCTTTAAAACCCCGTATTACCAGCCGTGCTTTGTGTTTCTCACATCCTTGAGCATCAACCTTTTTCTTAAGAACCCATCGGGAATCGATGATATTCGGACGTTTACCATTTACCAGTCCTGCAGGTCTGTTTACCAACTTCCAGACTTGATTCTTTGCCATTGAGTCAAGTTCTTCTTGGATGGCTTGATTCCAGCCTTCTTTATCCACAGCCTTCATTGCTTCTTTATATGAAGCTGGATCTTTATTTATTTCTGCCAGCAAAGAGTGGTAAACTAGATCTTCCGCATAAATGGCATTATTTCCTGACGTTTCAGTATCACCGTTCTTAAAAATTAGGTCTTTTGTTAATTCTTCCCCGAGAGCTAAGCCCGCAAAGCTGACGTCCTTTACACGACTTTCTTGGACCAAGTTGGCCTCCATTGTTTCTATCAGTCTTTTCGGCCTTCCTCTTTTCCGTTGTACCACCGGGGGCGCTTCCTCCGATGACACTGTCTCTTCTCTTTCCTTTTCGAATTTTAAAAACCACTCGTCTAATTTAATATTTACAGTCACATTTTCCCAGTTTTTAATTGAATTTTTACCAAAAACGTCTCCATACACAAAACGCTCGTTAAATCTGACGTCCCGACTTTCATAAAACTTTCCTTCGTCCGGACAAAGCAGACGATACCCTGTCGGCGTGTATCCTACCATAACTGCTCGTTTCCCTTTTGCATGGAATTTAGTTTCAGTGTTTCTCTGAACTCTCAAATACGCGATGCAGCCGAATCTTTTCATCTGACTTAGGTCTGTCCTTTTATTCGGAGCCAGCTTCATTAAAGGGATTTCCATGTTATTTGAGCGATGCGGAGTACGATTGTACGCAAATACAGCTGCGTTTAGTGCCAAGTCCCACATGTTTTCCGGGAGTCCCGAATCACATATCAGAGCTCGGACTTTCATTTGAATTGTTTTGTTCAGCCTTTCTGACGTGCCATTATGTTCAGGGGTATCCGGACAACTCAGTTGGAGTTCAGCTCCAAGGTCATTTAATATTTTTCGCACGGAGCCTCCCGTGTACTCGGTACCCTGATCAGACCTCAGATAACACACTTTAGCTTCAAACCCGAGAAGATTTCTACAGCCTTTAACAAAATTATCTAAACATTCACCCGTATCACTTTTGTTTTTCATCGGGTAAGCAATTGCAAATTTGGAATAATCATCAATAAATACCGAAATAAATCTGTATCTTTTTGGGTAAGAGGGTGGATTAATAATTCCCATTGTATCTGAATGAATTATTTGCAGAGGTTGGGATGCTCGTTCGCGTACCGAAGGGAAAGGCAGTTTTTGGGATTTAGTTCTTAAACACACATCACAAGTCTTAATCACATCATCAAATACGGCTTCTTTCAGACTTTTTACTTCCGGATAGTTTTTCTGCAGTTCCCTTAGATACCCCAACGAAGCATGGCCCAGTCTGACATGCCACAGCATGGCCCCGTTGTTATCTTTGAATTTTTTATAATTTTCGCTAAACGGACTTTGAATGTCTTTTATTTCTTCGGTCAGGACTTTTCCGACTTCATGAAATTTTCTGTCATTTATTAAAAATACATCTTCAAAACTGTCATTATTTAACTTACCGACCGAGCTCTCTGAATTTTCCGACTTATTATTTAATTTTATATCTGTAGTTGAATTTTCAGGAATAGTGTGTGCTTTTGACTCAGCCGTCAAGACTTTCATTCTTTTGTTGTCCGACTTAACAAATTCAACCATCCAATAGGGTTTTTCATATATTCCCGATATCCATACATTTTCAGTATTAGGATCGAAAATACTAATCTCCTTGTCATCTAAATAGATTGACAAGCCCATATCAGCAAATTTCCGCAGCGACAGTAAATTCCCGATCAAGTCGCGAGCACACACCACTCCCTGCAACTCAACGTCATTATTGCAATTTTTAAGCAGTAAATTTCCCACTCCCTCCGTTTTCAAGTCTGCAGATGAGTCTGAGTTTGCACATTTTATTTTACCAATTTTGTTTCTGTCAATATTTGTAAACAATTTTTCTGACTTTGCAAAGTGATCAGTCGCTCCCGAATCAGCGACAAATTTAATTTTATTTTCTCCATCCGATTCTGAATTATTTACCCAACCTGCAGAGTTTGAAAACAGAGTATTGGGGGGCTCGATCAACGTCAGAGACTCACCTTTATTTGACCCTGAAACATCTCGTTTTCCCTTTGTCTCCCGGCCCTGGTCAGAAACTTTCTGCCTTTTGGGATCTTTTTCGTCCCTGACGTTGCTAGAGTCCCTTTTCTGCCCAAAGTTTCGGGAATTGGAGCGGCCTCGGCCACTGCCACGGCCACCGCCGCGGCCACCTCGATTCCCTCGACTTCCACGGCCCTGCCTTTTAAAATCCCATGAATCAGACTTATTTTGCTCACCACATCTCGGGCTGCATCTCTTGTGAGCTGGGATGTCATACACGAACGTGCCACACGTGTAACACTTCTTGAGTCCGGTACCTGCCTTCGGACACTTGTCAGCCATATGGTCCCAGTCATCACAGTTGAAGCAGCGGAGACGGTCCTGGGGCCAAGAGGCAGTCAAAGCTGCCCTCGTGGGGCGACCTCCAGTGGCTTCTGCTAGGCCTTCTGACTCGACCTTTAACATGTACGACATGAGG